AAGGCATTCAGGCATACCCTGATCTATCTACAGTGGTACCTCGGGTTAAGTACTTAATTCATTCTGGAGGTCCATACTGAACCTGAAACTGTTCTTAACCTGAAGACCACTTTAGCTAATGGGGCCTCCTACTGCTGCCACGCCGCCGGAGCACGATTTCTGTTCTCATCCTGAAGCAAAGTTCTTAACCCAAAGCACTATTTCTGGGTTAGCGGAGTCTGTAACCTGAAGGGTATGTAACCCGAGGTACCACTGTATATCTGACCTAAGATTAACACATGCAAATTTAAACTAGATTTGACCCTCAGGGTCCCTTCCAGCTCTACAGGTCTATGATTCTATGCGTGGAATTTTCTAAAAAGATTGCTGCCAAACTTATCTGAGATGTGTCAGCTTGCAAAACAAACACCCCAGAAATGGTTGATGTGGGCCTATAATGGAGTTGATTCATGATTTGGATACCTGCTAAAGTCATCTGTGGCAGGAGGTTTTAGCCTCTGCAAACGCAGGTATGCAATTTTAACCTGGTGCGTCTAGGTGGGGGAGCAGCTGTACCAGGAATTCTCCTCCTCGTGCCTCCACAGCAGGGAACTGGTTTCTATCTTGATTCAACAAGTGTGTGGAGGGCTTCCTATTTTACTCCCACCCTTGTACTTTTGTTCCAAATTCTTCTGTCTGCTGCAGCTTACTAAAACGTTAATCTATAACCCAGTAGCTGTGGTAGCTTAGATGTAGCACAAAACAAGCCAGACTCAAATTATAAGTAAAAAAAAAGTTACAAGTGATATTTAGGGTTTTGTAAATTAACTTTATAGTTAAAGGGGGGAAATAAGGTAAACACTATACTTAAATTGGTTACTATTTCTTTAAGACTAATGTGTGCTCTAATAAGGTTATTATTACCTTAAACAGCAGTTGCTTGTAAATACAAAAGCATACACAGGACTAGCTTGTAAAGCTTACTTCCTCCCCCTATCTAACATTTATGCCAGTTATCCTTAGTGCCTCTTCCTCAGTCATTCAATTTTACCACCACCTGGTACAAAGCACTTCTGCTGGTTTTCTATGAGCTGGACTTGCAAGCGGTTCTCCTTCTGGCCAGTTCTAGAAACTCCTTGCTCAGCTCTTCCTCACTTCCCTTTGATGGCCTTTATGCCAATCTTCGGCTTAAGCTACTGATTCAGCTGTTTCGGAAAAAAACTACAGCCGTACCTTTGATCATCATCATAATTTTATTTGTATGCCGCCTTTCCATAGTTAGAACAATGCTCAAGGCGGCTTACAACATGACAAGATTCACATAAACATCCTGAGCACCCTAGAACATGGACATTTTGGCTCCCGATCGCTGCAAACCCGGAAGTGATTGTTCCAGCTTGTGAACATTCTTTGGGAACCCGAATGTCCGACGGGGCTTCCATGGCTTCTGATTGGCTGCCAAGGTGCGACTGTATACTTCCAGGCTTTTCCTAGAGTGTTCAATAACCTCTAGCATACCCTCCAACCATAGCTGTCAACTGTTCCTTATTTGGCGGGAAACTCCCTTATATCAGCACCGTGTCCCGCTGCTGTCCCTTATTGATGATGTCTCTTAAATTTCCTGGGTTTCAAAGGAAGCAGCTCTTCTCCCTCCCTCCCTCCCTGCCGGCCAAAGAGGAGGGAGGCTCCAACTGTGTTGCTTGACTGCCTGGCCTGCCCCCCTCTGGCCTCCTCTCACCAGCCTCGGCCCCTGGGAGCCCCTCCCCGCCTGGACTGAGGAGCCTTGAGAGGAGAGCGAGGGCAACCATAGAGAAAACAGTTCAGAGAGAGGCGGAGGAGGCGGAGGCAGAGGCACAGACAGGTGTTCCAAGGGCTAACCATAGAGGGGGAAAGCGGAGGAAGGACCGCAAGCGCTTCTCCCATAGATTTGTAGTGGTAGACTAGCATAGATGGTCTGATCTGCGGGTTTACTTCGGGCTTGTAGCTTGGACTTCGTTTTGCACGAAAAGTGGTTACTGCTTGTAGTTATTTAATTGCAGTGTTTCATCAGTTGGTGTCTTGAGCAGCAACCTCTGGAAATGAAGGACTAAAAACCGGCGCTGCTTCCCCAAATTATTGGCTGCTGGTCCCTTATTTTCAAATCTGTAAGTTGACAGCTATGCCTCCAACATTTCTCCAATGAAAATTCCATAATGATAATTTTACTATTTATTCCCCACACATCTTACTGGGTTGCCCCAACCACTATGGGCAGCTTCCAACATAGATAAAAACATAATAAAACATTAAACATTAAAAAAAAAAAAACTTCCCTGTATACAGGATTGCCTTCAGATGGCTCAGGGGTCAGATAACTCCATACCCTCCAACATATCCCCAATGAAAATAGGAACATCGTAAGGAAAAGTGGGACATTCTGGGATCAAATCAGAAACCGGGACAGCTTCTGTAAATCCGGGACTGTCCCTGGAAAACAGGGACACTTGGAGGCTCTGCTCTTGTCTGCCTTCCACCAGAGGCGGTTTTAGGGTAGGGTGACTGGTGCAGCTGCACAGGGTGCCACACTGCGGGGGGGGGGCACCAAAACAATACTGTAGAATGGAGCGAGAAGCAGGGGACACCAAATTTTAGCATTGCACAGGGTGCTGCTGAAATTTGAGAGCCCCAAATCCCTCACTGCTTCTACCTGCCTCTGCTCCAGCCTTCTCTCCCAGCTTCCTCATCATATTGTAGTTAGCACTCTCCACTGTTAACTATGGCAGAAAAGGCCTGTCTATATATGTTCCAGTGAGCATACCCTTCAACCAATCGGATTTTAATGGTATAGAATTCTACCCCCTCACCAAGCCACATCTTCTGTATAACACGATGCTGGGGGTGGGGGTGGGACTAGCTTCTTGGGCCAGTTTTATGCAATTTTGTTTTATGCAGCTGCCATCCAGCAACAAGTACTTAGCATTTCAAACTTGGCCTTTCACATTCGCAGCAAACTATAATACATTGTACATAAAACAAACTCTACCTCAGTAAACACATTTCTCCACAAACCCCAATATGGGAACCAGACCTTTCAGTCAATTCAAATGACCTTTCAGTCAATTTCAAATGACCTTTCGACCAATTCAAATGGATTATGATCTCATAATGCCAGTGGGTTGCTATATCTTTGATAGTGTCCTCATGTAAGAACATGCTGGCATTTAGAAAGCATCCCTAATACACTTCATATGAATGCTGGTTGGCTTGAGAGACAGTGACTGGTCCAAGCAGTCATTCAGCATTGGAACCACCATGACTACTAGTAGCCCTTGTTAGACACCCTCCATGAATTTAATTTCCATTTAAATCTATCTAAAGTGAATAGCCATCACAACTTCTATGAATTGTGTGTTGTACAAAGCATTTATTTGATCATCAGAGGATTCATGACAAATACCTTTCATTGCGTGGCCCAGATTTCCAGTAAAGTGAAAGGGAAGGGAAACTTCCCCCATCCTACAATGGAGTTGTGTGCTCCAGTTCTGCACTCCCCCCCTCCCATGCCATGGACCACCAGGGAGTAGGGACCTATATTTTTTGAAACACTGGAAGCCAGAATGCCAATAAATCAACAGACAATGGGAAGTCCATTTATGAAATCTCCATTTCAGCAGTGGGTGACCTGAGGCCAGGCACTCTGTGTTAAAACTCCTTTACAGTGTCATTTTGAGGATAAAATGGGATGACGCCATGTGTATTACCCTGAACTCTGCAGAGGAATAGAGGGATACAATAGTAATAAATAAAAACCAAAGAATAATGAGGGCTTATTCTCATAATGCAATTAATAACAGTGGCTCATTTGACCATCACCAGAATTTGTAAATCTCTAAACGCAGACGTATACAAAATGTGGCTATCCCAGAAATTTAACATTAATGGACACTTTGACTGGAAAATTATAAGAATGGACAATAGCCAAACAAAAAGATGAATGGTTTGACTTTTTTTCATATGTGAACACACAAAAACATGGTTATTCACCAGCAACCTATAGCAGACTATGGACAGACACCTTTGTTTAATCTCTCTTCAGAGTGGACTAGTTTCTGCTATTTACACATGCTCTGTATATCAATCAGGGGAGGTGGAAGGGAAGGGAACTTATAAAAAAATGAACAGTTAAAAAAGAGAAAAGCAGTGGTGTCCATTGACCCCCGCCCCCGCTCTTCAATTTTTCCCTGGAACTCCTTGCAGATGCTATTCAAATTCATATTTGTGGTTACTGGAGGATATTTGTCCATAAATAGGGGGTTCTTATTGCAGTGTTTACTTCTTTGTGGTGCCTTGTATTTATATGTGAACAAAACAGGAGAGAGTACCCCTTTCTAATGCCAAGGACTTTTGTGTTGACTGCAGAAGAGAAAGTTCTGTACGTGCAAAGGGAAGGATGAAGTCCAGCTTCTACCACATCAGGGGAGAAGGTAAAATCTTATAAATAAGCTAAAACAGTGGTGGAGAATGGATGGGTGGCTTTCTAAGCCCACCTCCTGCCCCAGTTGCTGAGAACTAATGGTTTTCCATAGCCTCAGCAGGAATGTAGAATGGATTTCTGGGTTTCTGAGAATTGTTTCTAATGTTTCCCCTACTCAGAGTAGAACCATTGATGTTACTACACATTACTAACTTAGGTCCATTAATTCCAATGGGTCTACTCTGAGTAGGACCTAATTCTGTTTGAAAGGGAATAATTAACGAGCTAAGTCAGGCATAGGCAAACTCAGCCCTCCGGATGTTTTGTGACTACAGCTCCCATCATCCCTGACCACTGGTCCTGTTAGCTAGGGATGATGGTAGTTGTAGTCCCAGAACATCCGGAGGGCCGAGTTTGCCTATGCCTGGTTTATCCAGTTATTCCCATGGTGCCCTGGGAAGAGATAAAGGTAAAAAGGTGTGCTTTTGAACTGCTAGGTTGGCAGGAGGGGAAGAGAAAATAACTGATCAGAGCAGTATATGTCTGTATCATGGGCTGATGAGGCAATGCCATAGCTCAGTTGTAGAGTATCTGTTTTGCATGCATCAGGTCCCAGGTTCAATCCCTGGCATCTCCAGGCAGCACTGGGAGAGAATTATGCCTGAAACTCTTGAGTGCTGCTGTCAGTCAATGTAAAAATACCGATCTAGATTGACCAGTGGTCTGGCTCAGTAAAAGGCAGCATCCTATGTACCTGCTACATATTTGAATACCCGAAGAAGGCTCATTTTTGCAGCTAATTGCCTGGCTACAGGATCACAGGATTCACTAAAGACGCTTGTTACAGAGAGAAGGATATGAAAGTAGAGAGGAAACATTCTCAGAGCGAAGGACCACAGATGATGTAGGCTGAAGAAGACCCAGGAAGTGCAACAAACAGGGAATGAGAGTATGTACAACAAGGCCATCAAACATGGAAAGGGTGTTAAGCATCCTGCTGACAAGCTGAATATAAAAGTGTTAATTCAACTTTCCCAGCACAGTGGAGGAAGACTTCACCCCCTCCTTGTTTATTTCTCACAAAGTAGCTTTTTGTAGAAGCGCTTCTTAAGTGGTCACAAGTAAGTTTTTGGCACCTCTGAGGAAACCAATATGTTATGGAATAGAGTTCACACACCTCTCACAACTCCTCTTCTGGCTGAATACAATTATTTCCTTATTTGAACCAAGCGTATTGAAGAATGGAACAACGCAGCATCTCTGACTACATCCTCACCATGCATTTAAAGTGCATGGCTTCCCCCCGCAGAATCCTCGGAATGCTCTCCCCAGGGAGGTTTGCCCGGAACCTTCATTATACACCTTTAGGCGCCAGGCAAAAACGTTCCTCTTTAACCAGGCCTTTGGTTGATTGTCATTCAATGGTATTTAAAAATGGAGGGTTGGGGGGTATTTGGTTTCTCTTTTTATTTTGATTATGTATTCTGTGTTCTTATATTGTAATTTTATCTTGTGAACTGCCCTGAGACCTCCAGGTATAGGGCGGTATATTAATTTCATCATCACCACCGCCACCACCATCATCTATGGTTCCCAGGCCTCTTGAGGGGAAGCTAAATGGCTAGGAATGTGGTGATGTCTGCCTGAGATCTTGGTCTTCAGAATAGACAATACCAAGAGATAAGCCAATGATCTGATTCAGTGGAAAGCAGCTCACACGGTCCATATTTGCACCTGAGATTGCTTGCTGGTAATGGATCTCGAGGGGTAGGACTTTAAAACAAATAAATGAAGTATATACCACATTCCTCTACTTAATCTCTATTAGCCAACTCAAAACTCTTTTAGCTTCATGCATAGGTATATCAAGGTGTTTTGCCTGAAAAGAAGCCCTCAAGTTCATTTTTAGATTTCACTGCAGATAGACTGAGTGACAGTTTCAGGATGTGTGAACCCATTTGACAAGTTTCACTGTAAAGCGATGGAAGGGTGAATCTGTTAATTGTGACTTTTCTCAGGTTCTAATTTTTCTAATCACATATTCTTAACTCTTAAATTCAGTTTCTTCATCAGCTTGCTTTTTAAAAAACAAATAAGCAGTATTAAAATCCCTGTGCATTTCTGCTAGTGTGCACATTATTATGTGCAACTTTGCCTAACATATATCTTTTTGTGAGCAGTTTCCACTGGTATATTACAAGTTTGCATGTTATTTTCACTAACAGACACATTCTTGTTCAAACTTCTCCCCCCAAAAAAATATATACCTATGGTTTTGTATGCATTTTTGTTGTTGTTGAATTGCTTCATATTGGTTTGGAGAAGTGTGAATTTCAAAGTTCCATTTCATTTCATATATTGGTTCAGGAAGTACAAATTAGGTAGGTTTGCATTACAAATTTCTCCCCCATGCAAAATTGGAACTCATTAGGTTTACCCTTGAAACTCCCCAGACTTCTTCTTCTTCTTTAACAACGATTTCCACTTGAAAGTTTACTTTAGCTGACATTTTGATGACAACCTTAAACTAATATGCAACGTTCAGCCTGGCATTAGTGAAGGCTGGTAAGCTGGGACGAGCCATAACACAATGAAGCCAAGAGCTTAATTTCCTCCTTATCTAAGCAATACAGCAAGCCAGGCACAGATTTTAGGGAAAGAAATGGAGAGCCTCTTGCAGGTGCATGGAAACACTAAGTGCTAGTATGCCATCTGCACCTGGCTAATTACAGAGATCACTGGGGAAATCCAAAAGCATTTTTTTCACCCTGATCCCAGAATGAGCAGGTTTCAACTTCTCAAGCACCAGAAAAGGATTGTAGTTAATGGTCCATGTAAAGCATCAAGGCTGGGATCTTCCCAAATCTGGTGTCTACTGGCAATGCAACAGCCCAAACATCTGCATGCCAAAGACGTACAGATGTTCATTCACTGGGGCCTCAGAACAACATTGTAAATGATCGCTGGATGGGGGGGGGGCTCAATGGAAAGATAACGCTTTTGTAACAATAAAATGGTAGAGAGATGTCTTACAATTAGGGAAGGGAGAGCAAAGGTAATATGGATTGGGGGATTAGAATCTGCACTAGTTAAGTTTGGGGAAAGCCACAATAAATATTTTCCTTTCATTTAAATGGTGAGTTATTTTACAAAATAGGGAAGAAGCACATACATGGAGAGCAGGGGTAAAGATCAGCATTTGGGAAAGGAGGAGCAGAGATCAACGTGGGGAAGCAGTGGGTGTGAAGATCAACACTGGTAAAGTTGCAGCTTCTCCTTCTCCACCTTCTCTACTGGCCATCCCTCTCCAGCCTCACTGAAAAGAAGGCAGAGTTGTTCCTTCACAGAGGCCTGAGGTAGAAAAGGAGGCCAAAGCCAAACCAGAACCAGAGGCCAAAGAGGGAGAGGGGCGACAACGGGCAGCAGCTGGAGGAAGCGTTAAGGGGAAGTGGCACCTATGGGGATCAGCTGCCTTGCAGTCACCTCGTGGCCTAGTGGTTGAGTATGTCCTGCCTTTAGGTTGTGAGGTAGGTTTTATCTCCTCACAGAAAAAAGAAAGGGAGGAGGGTTTCTCTGGGAAACGAAGCTCCTGAGAATGTTTGGAGATGGGTTCCTGAGCCAGCTTATCAAAAAATACACTCCCCCCCCCTTCATAGTTTAGATTCACCAGAGGCGGATGTACTATGAAACCAAGGAAGCTTAAGCTACAGGGCACCTAATCCCAGAGGGGCACCAGGGGCATTAGTCCACATTGCCTAATTTTTTTTTTGGGGGGGGGGGGTCCAGTAGACTCAATTTGAGCCGCACAACTCGGAAACTATAAGGCATAGGACATTTTTATTCACATCAGTGACTTCGACATATGAGATAATCCAGTACAACAATTTTAATCAAAATCTGAGATGCAGTCATTATTTTCTTTAAAGAATTGTGGTGATCTGTCGTGGAATAACCCAACTGAAGAAGATAACAGTGGTTACCTGGACCTGGTTGCTGGTTGTGAAGGGGCCCCCATAACAGTTTAAGCTTCTGGGCCTCAAACATGTAGGTCCACCACTGAGGGTCATCCAGATCTTGGGCTCCCCAGGTTCATGAGCCCCATCTGCCCCTCACTTCCCTCTGCAGCATGTACAGAAACCACCTTCTTGAGCATTGGACCCACTATTGGTCTCATCTGCTCAATCCACCAGAGCCTGTCTTTCCATGCAGAGGAAGTCCCCAGCTCACCAAGGATTTGAGACTCATTGGGACGGCTACCCTCACTAGTCGAAGCCATTCCGAAGGGGTGGCTGCTGTCATTGACAGCTTCTAGAAGCCACAGGTGAGAGTTGAGTGCAGGGTGGGGACCAAACGTGTACAAACTACTCCAGAAGGAGCACAGTATGTCCCCCACCAGAAGTACTACCCCTGCCCTAATTCCCCATACACCCCATTGCTGGATCCAGGAACCCAGAAATTACAAGAGCCACAGGCATCATGCAGACTGATCATCCCCATCCAAACACAGAACAATCCTTGGGGAATGCCAAGTTGTGCCTAAATATCATGGAAATAGACATTGCAAAGAAGAGTGATGTATTTGTGTGGTCTTGCTATGAATTTTAAATGGGGAATAATTGACCTCTCCCCTCCAACATCAGTGTTTTAATCCTGGCTCAAGACTTCCTTAAGGGAGGGTTAATCACTCAGTGAGAGAACACCTGCTTTCTACACAGGTTCAGTTCCTGGCCCCTCTGGATCAGCTATCAGGTGATAGGAACGACGCCTTTCTCTTCTAGTAACCTTGATGAGCATGTGCCAGTCAGAGTAATTTATGCTGGACAAATAGTCTTGAATAAAGTGCCTTCCCATACTTTCCACCCTTTAGGACAAGAGGCATGAACTGAGTTGTGATGAATGTGGGGGCACCTAAACTTTTCCTCCACTATCGTAAAACACAGCAGATTCCTATGTCTGTTTTCTAGTCCGTCTTCTCAGACCCAGACACACAGCCCGAACAGAAATCAAATCAGGCAGAGATTTAAGAGAGTAATACATGAAACCCAATCAAATCATTGCAGGAGGTAAGACCCAGGGGGATTGCCTGAGAGTTGCTCTCACTTCTCATTGACTTAGCTTGTCCGCAAACAAAATAAATATGGAATTGTGTTTGCTTTGGCAGCATACAGGTGAAATGTGTATTGACAAGTGAAGCTTAATTTAGAGGGATGAGATTCTGACTCAACCACTTCTAGCGAGCGCTCGCTCTTTCCAGTCATGCAACTACTTTAAAAGGTGGGGAGGGAAGAGCCCAGCTTCCTTTGTTCATTTCTGAGGCCTAACTTTTGATGAAAACAAGCAGTCCCTGAATTTGAAGGGGTGGAAGCTGAGAGGGGAAGTTTCATAAGGAGTGCATCTTTGTGTGTGTGTGTGTGTGTGTGTGTGTGTGTGTGTGTGTAGCTTTTTACACAGACAAGTCGAGCATTAACAATTTTAAAAGTAATAATCAAGGAACAGAACTATTGACTCCATAAACTTTCTGTTGTGTTATAAGCAGCTATTGTGTATAACATGTTTCCTACCGGTTGTCTTTTCCTCTGGCCAAGTCTTTCAGAATTCACCATGTGTCTGTGGTGTCCTTGTTGTTGCCGTTGGGTCTCATTTCTATCTTAGAAATCCATACCATTGGATAACAAAACCATCTTATTTGTTTTCATTTCTCATTACTACAACTTGATTAGGCAGTTTTCCATGTAGTGCTATGTGCCAAACCGTATTTGGAAGGAAGGACAACATTTTTGATGATGATTCAACCTATATACAGAGCAAGGGTTGGATCCCGAGAACCGAGATTGACATAGGGCTGATGGAAGCCACCCCCTTTTCTGTCGTGCAGTTCCTCTGAACCACCAAAGAGGGTTTTTGGTGATTCAAGGGGCCCTCTTGAATAGCACAGGGATGAGGAGCAGGAATCCACAGTGGGAAAAGTGAGTTACCCCAAATAAGGCAACCTGCTTGACTCTTCCTGCACATTAGCCTACAGTAGGTTTGGAGAGCCTTTCTCAGCCCAAGGACCACACTCCCTAGTGGATGACTTTCTAGGAGCCACATTCCAATGGATAGTGGAATTACCAATGTAACTCTTATCATTGTACAGTAGACTGCAGTCCAGCCAAACAGTAGCTAGAGGTTTCTACACTTATATCTCTTCATCCAGGCAAGCAATTCCACATCCAAACCATACTAAAACAGTGGAGAACAGTTACTGAAGCCCATGGTTTGGGGAAGAAGCATGGGCTCAGTAGGAGTCCAAGGGGCCAGTGGCGTCGCAAGGCGTGGTCGGTGCACCCTGGATTCCATGTCTGGGGGGGGGGGTGACAAGAAGGGACCCTGCGGGGTGCTTGCCCTGCCGCCCCAGCCTGGGTGCAGCAGCATGAGCAGCCATCGCACCGCTACAGCTGCATGTGGAGGATCATTCATGGCTGCAGCCGCAAGCAGAGGATCCTGCCACCATCCATACAGCCCTCGGGCCGTGCTGGAAGCAAACCGCTACACACAACGCATGCGCAGTGTCACACACATGTGCTATGCATAGCAACACCGCACATGTGCTGTACATAGCGGTTTGCCACTAGCACTGCTGGAGCGCCGTATGGACAGCAGTGGGATCCCTCCGCCACTGGCAGGAGCTGCTTACGGCGAGCCGGGGGGCCCCCTCCCACTCCCAGCCTCCCTCCCTCCCTGGCTCGCAGTAAGCAGCTCCCGCTTTGCCGCTTTACAGCGAGCCAGGGAGGGAGGGAGGGGGACAGATGAGAGCCGTGGCTTCTGAGAGGATGAGCTGCGCAGCTTTGCCAGTGCTCCGGCAAAGCGGCATAGCTCCCCCCTTCCCCCGATGGCTCGGGGTACTTGGGAGTCGTGGGGGTGGGGGTGCAAAGGCATAGGAAGTGGGCGGACCACCCCACGTGTCATCGCTTAGGGGGGTGACATTCAGTGCCTACCCACGACTCCCAAGCCTACCCCAAGCTGACCATGGGGGGTGTGACAAAAATTTTTTTTGCACATGGTACCACCTGGGCTTGCTACGCCTCTGCAAGGGGTCAGATATAAAGGGTGGGGAGCACATCTCCTGGGTAGGGTTACCAGACGTCCCCAGATTTGCAAATATGTCCCCAGACAAATTGTGGCCCCGGAATGTCCCCGGATTTTATTAAATGTCCCTGGGAAACGTGGCAGCGGCACTGGCAGTCTCAGCAGCCTGGAGCCAGGCTTCATTGAAAAAAATCTGGTAACCATAGGCTAACTGGATGCAGAAGAGGAGTTTAAGTGGGGAGGGAAAGAAAAACATTGAAGGGACGAGATGCACGTGTGAGGGGAAGGAGGTGGCTAACTGGATGCAGGAGAGGGGAATTTTAGGGGTGGGGAGGAAAGGAAAGGAAAAGTTCTCTCCCCCCCCCAAGCCAGACCCCCTCTCCCTCCCATCTGCATGTTTTCCAGCTGCCTGCGCGTCCCTGGCATGCTTCCCTGGACGCAGCAGCAGCACTGGAGCATGGAGAGGAGGAGACGGCGGCTGTTGGCTGTGCTCCTAGCCGCCGGAAGCTGAGCTGTGTGGGCTGAAGTCTGCGCGCAGTGCGGCTAGGAAGGAATTAGCAGGAAGGACACGATCCTTTCTCCTCCGCTTGCTGTGAGGGCTAGGAATTTCCCTGCTCTTTGTTGCGTTTGTCTGCCACTAGTCCCTTGCTCAGCGCATCTGCTTACTGCGTGGTGACGGCCGGCACTGAGCAACGGGAGGTGAAAGCATCGTGTCCACCTGCTAATTCCTTCCTAGCCGCATCACCTCTCAGCAAGCAGACGCACTGAGCAAGGGGACTGGTGGCAGGGAAATCTGCTGTGTTTAGCGTATGTGCCAGGTGTTCATCTTGTTTTGTTGGCGCTCGGTTGTGGGTCCATGTTGTGTGCCTGTGCTTCGCTGAAGGAAAGGGGAGAGCTCCATTCGCACTTACAGCCCATTATTCCGCACGGCTTTTCAGCCGATTCCCCATACCTTGCTTTCAACGTGTCCTATGTGTGTTTGCACCGAAGCTTTTAGAGAGGAGCAGCGCGCTGCGCTTGGCATCCCCATGCTCATGCTCATCCCTCCCCTTTATGCCCCTTTCCTCTTTGGGGCACACCAGCCACGCCTGGATTCTTTCGGACACTCCTGCGCATTTCTTCCACAGGATTTAATACATTGCATGGCAGGGTTTTATTGTTGTTTTTAAATTAACCAAAGCTCAGTTTTAAGGCAAACTTTGATCTGTGGTGTTCAATTTTTGTTTATTTATTTTTAATATTTTTTTCTCTCTTTTCAAAAATATATATCATTTTTTTATTTTTTATTTTTCATTAAAAGTGTCCCCACTTTAATAAAAAGGGTGTTTTTTAATTTTTTAAAAAATCTGTTAACTCTACATCCTGGGCCCAGGCTTACAGCATTCAGAAGGGTCCCCTGACCCTTGGTAGGGCTTGGGAGTAGGGGTGCTATAGAGAGTTTCTTTGTGGGGAATGTCCTTCCTCACAGTGCCAGTTTTCTGTGATACGGTATGCAGGGTCTGGTGAAAGAGAATATTGATTAAATAGGGGCACCCCAAATTTGGGATCTTCTCACAAACAGCACCAACACTGATTGTGTTTCTTTGCCAGATAGGACAGTGCCTATTTATCCAAGCATTTGGCTAAGTGGTGTTCCTCAGTTTTTTGACGTTGTTTGTGTGTACATTGTTGTTTCTAGTTAAGCTGCTTTTAATTGAAATATTGTTTTATTGCTTTTTAATATTGTGTCTTACTCTGAAATTGTTTGAGAAATTAAGAGCGGATTATACATAATTTAATTTAATAAATATAAATAGAATAACTATGTTCTGCTTTCAGAATCCAACTCATAGAGTTGGATAGAATATGCACACAGTCTCAAATGTGGGTTTTGAAACTGCTTTCCCATCTCACAACATGGCAACAACTACGCGTCACATGATAAGAATTTTGATTATGCCCTGAGGTAAAAATAGGAAGGGTGGTCACTTTTCATTAACACTCCCAGCCTTGGGGAAAGGAATCCCACCTCAACCATTTTCCAGGAGACTGGATAACGTTTACATTATGTAAATCAAACAAATTTTGCTATGTGATGGTGTCAGTAAGGCCATGTAAAGTAAATTCAGAGTGAAGGATAGTCTTCCTGCATGATATTGCCCTCAATTTGAATTGGTGCAGCTTGCTGCCAGTGGCATAGTCACTTTAGCCAAATGTTAATCTTTTCTCTCCTGGCCACTCTTCTTCCAGAACTTGTAGCTTAAACCTACTGCGAACTAAGGAGTGCTAGGCAGCACCATGAAGGTAACACCACACAAATAAACATCTGGGGCAGAATGAAGTATAGTTCCCGGCGCCTGCCTTTCCTTCATGATTCCTTCCCAAGAAAATGAGCATATGGGCCACTATCTCTCCAGGACTTATTTTGCTCATTGCCGAAATCCAGCTACCTGTGGGAAGGAACACAGCAGCTGTTTCCTATTACACTGCACTGCAGTTTAGAGCAGGAAATGAAAAACACTCTCTCTGGAGCACTCTAAAGTGGTTCCTGTGGCCCACTAGTGGCTCTTTAAAATGAAAGCTTAGTGTCTGAAGAATCTGAACTTATGATGAAATTCTTGAGAACGTTTCAGAAACTGCGTTTGACTTCCATCTCTAGAGAGGAGGAGGTGGCGGCAGCAGTGGCAGCTTGGCTGATATTCCAAAATGTGGAAAAACTAAGAACCCTTCCATTTTCTGAGTCAAAATGCTAACCCTGAAATCATGTCAGTGTTCAACTTGGGTATGTTGATAGTTTTCGAAAGCAGGTGACCACAGGTGTGTGGATGTATGTGTGTGTGTGAGAGAGAGAGAGTGAAAGAGAGAGAGAAGAGAGACTTTCCCATTGCTTCTAATATGGTAAAGGTAAAGGGACCCCTGACCATTAGGTCCAGTCGTGGCTGA